TACTTCTAATTATATATCTTCATTTTTGAGTCATAGTACTACTATATATTCCAACTACTGCTATTGGCAGCACAGTGGCAAAATAGTTAGCACTTCCACCTGGCAGTATAGGATCATTGGTTCAAATCCCAGCCATGGCACCACCTGCCTGGAGTTTGCATGTTCTCCCTGTGCCTGTGTAAGTTTCCTCTGGCTATTCTGGTTTCCTCCCGCACTCCAAAGATATGCTGCTAGGTGAATTGGATGCATTCTAAATTGTCCCTAGTATGTATGAATGTGAGTTAGGGACCTTAGATTGTACACCCCCTTGAGGGTTAGGGACTGATGTGAATGTATAATATATATGTAAATTGATGGTGCTATATAAGTACCTGAAATAAATAAATAGTGGTTTGCACTTCCACCTAGCAAAGCTATGGTCAGTGGTTCAAATCCACCCATGGCACCATATGTCAGGAGTTTACATTTTCTCTTTGTCCCTGTGTGGGTTTCCTCCCACACTCCAAAGACCTTTTGGTAGGTTAATTAGCACTAGTATGAATGTAAGCTCCTTGAGGGTAGGGATGGCTCCTTGAGGGTAGGGATGAGCTCATAGAGGTGTATAATTGCTTCTTGCCCTAAGTGAAACCTGCAATGGACATCCTGCAAGTATGCACATGGTCCAAAAAAACCATGCTATGTGCATCCCTCCTCTCTGCTTTGCAGAAGACTCTGGCAAACATAGCCAGCAGTGGTTCCTCCTCCTCTTCAGTCGTGAGGCAGAAGTGGTCGGTGGTTCAAATAAATACACGCAATTTACACCACTGTTTGGTGTTTTTGAGCTTGTGTAGCGCTTCTGTGCCCAGAGCATGTGCCCCTTTCACCCACCCCTTGTCCTGGCCCTGTTCCCTACCAATAATGGAACAATAGCAAGTAGTAGCTTCTCTCTATGCAATAATATTGCTTTTCTGAAAGAAATACTCACTTTTCCAGAGAGTATGAAGCTCTTCATGAGCTATAGCCACCGATGCTATATGACATTTCCAAGTGTGTCAAGTATTATGTCCATCACTGTACAATTGGGTTCTTCTTGCTGACCCCTAAATCACCGTCTTACCCTTTAGTGTGCTTTTGGGAGGAGCTACAGCACACAGCAGGGGCACGCTTTCTAACACACATGGTAATGTTGGATAGCATTGTCTCCTGGGGACCACTATCCCCCTGACACCAATGATTTGAGAGTTAATTTCCCACTGATGGTTTTTAGTCCTACTGACACCAATGATTTGGAAACTCTTCTCTTGCTGCTGGCCATAATCCCACTGACACCAATGATTTGGAAACTCTTCTCCTGCTGGTGGTCATAATCCCACTGACACCAGTGATTTGGGAATTATTCTCTTGTTGGTGGCCATAATCCCATTGACACCAATGATTTGGGAACTCTTATCCTGGGGTGGCCATAATCCCACTGACACCAAAGATCTGGGAACTCTTCTCCTGCTGGTGGCCATAATCTCACTGACATCAAAGATTTGGGAACTCTTCTTCTGCTGAGATCCATAATCCCACTGACACCAAAGATGTTGGAGCTCTTCTCTCACTGGTGGTCATAGTCCCACTGACATCAGTGATTTTTGGGGCTATTCTTCCATTGGTGGCCATAATCCCACTGACAGCAATGATTTTAGGGGCTATTTTTCCACTGGTGGCTGTAATCCCACTGACATCAATGATTTAGGGGGGTATTCTCTCACTGCATGGTATCAACTATTTCACTAATGTAGTGAACTAGACTAAAAATGATTAGTTATGGACTCAACCAGGATTGGTGGATTTTTGTGTTATACCTATATTAAATAATAGGGCTGCTAGCCAAAGATATCTAAAAACAAGAAAAAAAAACACCACATTCCACCGGTCTCACATTGCATCCCCTGTTACCAGTGATATCAGTTAGATAAGCGTGTAATAACATAAAATAACTTTCTCTGAAAGGACCGTAATGCTCAGCATGTAAAGTTCCAAGGTTAGTGTGATGGGAGTGTGACTTTTGGGGGTGGGGGGATACCTGTGTCATCTTCCCAAATTCTTATGTTTAACCCACCCTGTGCCTGTTAAGGGGTACAGGGTGGGAATGTCTTAGTATTGTGTATTGGTGTGGGGATTGTCCTTTGACACTAGAAATTCCAAAGAACCCTCTGCACACTGGTATATACCCTTTCAAGCAAACCATGCAATAAATAGGGATATTTAGTTCACACATATCGCAATACATGCTTAAGCTGGCCAACTGTGTCAAAGTAATCCCTCTATGGCCAGTCCTACTCTGCTCTGCCTACGCAAGTGCTACTGTGGACACAATGCTAACATAGGGAAAAAGACACAATGGGGGAGAGATACCAGGTTCAGGTCCGGCTACTGACCCAACAATACAACAAACAAGAGATACCTGCACTAGCTTTTGTGATTTGAACACAGGTATCTCTTGTTTGTGGGATTGTCCTTTGTTCACTGCCAGATGGTTGTCCATTGTTCTCTGCCAGGTGGTTGTCCATTGTTCACTGCCACCTGGTTGTCCATTGTTCTCTGCCATGTGCTGTATCCCATTGTTCTGTGTCTTGGTTGGGTGGGGGGTGTTTCCTGTAGCCCTTCCCACTGATGGGGCGGGCTGATGATGTGTTTCCTGTACCTGGTTGTGTTTCCCCGCCCTGTGTATATATCTTGTGTTTGTGTAAAAATAAAGGAGTTGACTTCCTGTCTTAAGAAAAGTCTGGTGCTGTGTATTTCCTGCATGATCAGCGGTGGTGTCCGGGGATTTGTGTAAGGACAGGGAAGCTGCAGTATAACGGAAATACCCAAGTGCGGTCTGGGTCCGGTTCCGTTACAGTTAGTGACTATGAGACCTCTTGCATCATAAGTTCCTGCCACTCCAAAAAGGAAGCAATAGCTGGAAACATGATGGAGGCCCCATATAGAGATACTGATTTGTAGTCCAGAGGAGGATATCCTGTAGGTGCTGTCATTTGCATAGACCTCTCTCTTACGCTAAATTGTAAAGCAGATGAATATCAATGGTACCACTTGGCAGGAGTTTTAATCTTGGGTGAATGTGCGAATCTTGGGTGAAAACATCTATAAACAAACCCCTAAGTATTTGTACGAAGGGCGTCCGAAAATGTCACAGCCCGACACAGAAGGAGTGACTGCATAGACGTTAAACTTTATCATGGGACCAAGCCACTCTTCTAGATGTTCGGTGCTGAAAACAGACAATGCGCAATATACAGTTTTTGTGCGCTCCTTGCAAACAGCTGGCACCCCTGTAGTCAAGTTAAAAATAGAGAAAATGAAAGAAGGAGGCTGAGAGGGTTCCATCAGTGAGCTAAATGCTGGTGACAGTCTTCTGGGATTCCAAGGGTGTGCAGCACAGTGATCCACAGTTCATGGTGTCAGTAGACATTATGGGGAGGGTGCAAGTAGTTGATCTTGCCTAGGTAGCCTATTAGAGAGGGCTAATCTCACCAGTAGGGACACATACAAACTATGCAAAGAAATTTAACCCTTACCTGTTCTATCCAAAGCAAAACAGAAATGTTTGCATCTACACATACTCAGGGCTGGTGCTAGACTATTTTGTGCCCTAGACAAAATCAGCTACTTGCACCCTACTCCCCCAACCAAAAAAAAAAAAAGATTCACCTGTAGTTCTACTGTAGTTCTACTTCACCCCTCCTAGCGCACATCCTCTTTACCCTCAAATGTTCCACCCTAGTACAAATCCTCTCCCCCAAATCCCCCCTCCTAACATAAAAACCCCAAAATCCCTCCTCCTAGCACAACCACCTCCAAATTACACTTCTCGGCACGAATCCTTCCTCCCCACCCAAATCCTTCCTCCTAGCAAAACCCCTCCTAATCCCCCTCTTAGCACAATTCCATCCCCTAATCCCCACCAACACAAATCCTCCCCAGTCCCACTCTTCTAGCACACATTTACCCCCAATCCCATCTCCTAGCACAGCACAATTTCCCTCTAAAATCCCCCAAGTGGTGGGGGTGACTGGGAGGGTGGGTGGTGGGGGGTTACAGATTTTTTGTGTTGGTTAGGCCAGCACAAAACATAAATACACTATTGCTTTCAATCCCCCCCACCTAGGGAACATTCCACCAAATCCCTGCTCTAGCTAAAACCCCTCTCAGAACAAAATCCTCCCTTTTTACCCAATCCCCCCAGCAGGCGGCTGCCTAGTGGTAGCACCAGCCATGCATACACATTAAATGGTGCATTCTACAGTCCAAATACAGCTCAGAATATAATGGATATTGGATTTAACTGACAAGCAGGCATGTAAGACATCCCTTTCTTTAACAACAAAATGAAAATGTAAATACTTTCTGTCAGGGCTCCGGGTATGACCAGAAGTGTGTGGACTGACACAGGGAAACGCAAGCTTCAGATATGGTATAAATAAGACAATTTATTAAAGACTAACAATACAAACATAAACACAGTGCACCAAACCCCAAGCTAACACAAATACATACAACAAGGTGAAACAAACCCAAACCTAAACTGATACAGATACACAGGTACATACACATATAGAGCACAACGTAATCAGGCAGGCCGGGTCGATAACTATCGGGCAGGTAGGTACAGGAGGAGCAGGCGGAGAGAATGGTCAGGGTCACAAGCCAGGAATCAAAACAGGAGAAGTCAGCAGAGGTCAGGATCAGTCAGTCGGCAATGAGTCAGTCAGTCAGGCAGGAACAGGAACAGGAATGCAGGTAACAAGATACAGGGACCCATAGAAAAACACACACCAAGGCACAGACTGCAGGTCTGGCCATCCCTTAAATACACCTCCGTAATCAGCTTCAGGTGTTTGGCTGACTGCAGGGTTGAGTCTCTGATTGCTGAGAGCACCCGCTGGCCAGCCCTGGTACTGCAGCCCACAAGGCAGGTGAGTCCCACCATTACTGGCAAGTCCATTCCTGACAGTACCCCCCCCTCAAGGAGCGGCCTCAGGATGCTCCAAACAGTCCTAGCTGGGCACCGGGTCATCAGGTACCGGATCGTCTGGCTCGACAGCAGGCACCGGGTCATCTGACGCTGGATCGTCTGGCTCGACAGAGGGCATCGGGTCACCAGGCATGACAGCGGGCACTGGGTCATCAGGCATTGGATCGTCTGGCTCGACAGCGGGCATCGGGTCACCAGGCATGACAGCGGGCACTGGGTCATCAGGCATTGGATTGTCTGGCTCGACAGCGGGCATCGGGTCACCAGGTATGACAGTGGGCACTGGGTCACCAGGCCATTTGGCTCGCCAGCGGGCACCGCGTCATCTGGCAAGGCAGTGGGCACCGAGTCACCAGGCACGACAGTGGGCTCCAAGTCAACTGGCATGACCGCGGGCACTGGGTCAGACATTGGATCGTCTGGCTCGACAGCGGGCATCGGGTCACCAGGCATCAGGTCATTTGGCTCGACAGCGGGCACCGCGTCATCTGGCAAGGCAGTGGGCACCGAGTCACCAAGCACGACAGTGGGCTCTGAGTCAATTGGCATGACAGCGGGCACCGGGTCATCAGGTACCGGATCGTCTGGCTCGACAGCAGGCACCAGGTCATCTGGATCGTCTGGCTCGACAGCGGGCATCGGGTCACCAGGCATGACAGCGGGCACCAGGTCATCAGGTACCGGATCGTCTGGATCGACAGCGGGCACCGGGTCATCAGGCATTGGATCGTCTGGCTCGACAGAGGGCATCGGGTCACCAGGCATGACAGCGGGCACTGGGTCATCAGGCATTGGATCGTCTGGCTCGACAGCGGGCATCGGGTCACCAGGTATGACAGCGGGCACTGGGTCATCAGGCCTGATAGGATCATCAGGCTGGATCAGTTCATCAGGCTGGGTACAGACATCAGGCTGAAGTGCGGGTGCCAAGGCACCAGGCTGAACCACGGAAGGCAGGTTCTCAGACGGCAGGCTCCCCGGTTTGGATACTGGCAGGATGGTACTGGTTGGAAAGAATTTTTGCTTTTTTCTGGTTTTAACTACTGGAGCACTGCAAGTAAACACAGGTCTGCAAACGAATGGAGCAGCTGAGGACAGAGAAGAGCTGAAAGATGGAACAGAGGAGGGAGCAGCCGCCACAGAGGACCTCTCCACAGGGCCAAAGAAAGGATAGGTGCAGCGAGTGGGAGCAGGGGACTGGTATGTGGTAGTTAGCAGAGTATACTGGGCCGTTACTGGGGGTGCTGTCGGGGATGCATGAAGAGTGCCTTGAGCAGTGGAATGACGTTGTAAGCTGACTGAGGCTGGTGCAACAAGTCTGACCATGTCTGCAGTATGGGTTGAACAAAGCTGAGCTTACACAAAGCCTGTCTGGTCAAAGACTGCACTGCGTTTATACAATCCCTTAATACCTGTGGTGAACATGCAGCATAATGCTCCAAGAAGCAATCCACATCATCCTCTAATAACCCATACCAGGGACTCTACCTGGTCTGCACTAAATGGTGGCAAAAAGTCATTCCTGCTTTCAGGGGTACCAGATGAAGCCAACTCTACACAAACCTGAATCAAAGGTTGCACCTCAGAGAACTCTGTGCCCTGAACTACTAGAACATGAGCGATCCGTATACATTCTAGCAGTTCATCCCGGGTATACTCCCTCAGAGTCTGATAAGCATATTCTCTGTCATCTAAAACCAGCAGCGACAAATACACAACCTCATCAAGATCCATCCTCCCCAGCAACAAGCCACGATGGCTTCCCTGTGCAGCCACTTCTGGTCAGGATTGGCCTTGGTGTAATGTCAGGGCTCCGGGTATGAACAGAGGTATGTGGACTGACACAGGGAAACGCAAGCTTCAGATATGGTATAAATAAGACAATTTATTAAAGACTAATAATACAATAATAAAGCACCAAACCCCAAGCTAACACAAATACATACAACAAGGTGAAACAAACCCAAACCTAAACTGATACAGATACACAGGTACATACACATATAGAGCACAACGTAATCAGGCAGGCCGGGTCGATAACTATCGAGCAGGTAGGTACAGGAGGAGCAGGCGGAGAGAATGGTCGGGGTCACAAGCCAGGGATCAAAACAGGAGAAGTCAGCAGAGGTCAGGACCAGGCAGGGTCGGCAACGAGTCAATCAGTCAGGCAGGAACAGGAACAGGAATGCAGGTAACAAGATACAGGGACCCATAGAAAAACACACACAAAGGCACAGACTGCAGGTCTGGCCATCCCTTAAATACACCTCCGTAATCAGCTACAGGTGTTTGGCTGACTGCAGGGTTGAGTCTCTGATTGCTGAGAGCACCCGCTGGCCAGCCCTGGTACTGCAGCCCACAAGGCAGGTGAGTCCCACCATTACTGGCAAGTCCATTCCTGACACTTTCCTTGCTCACTGCCTCCATCAGCAGAATGCAGCTCTGTTCACAAGAAACCCTCCACTTCAGAAAACCAACACTTTCAGGAGTGTCCGTCTCTTTGATCCCCTTTACTTTCCAGCTCTCACTTTTTCCTCCTGCAAACCTCTACATTACTACCGAAAACACAAAAATTGAGGGCCTAGGTTGCTGGTGCCCAACCCATTGCCTGAGGGCCATAAGTGGCCTTTGGCACTTTTTGTGGGGCCCATGAGGCCCTGCCCATCTGTGTTTCCCTATTGCCCTGTTGTAGTGGTGATCTCTAACAGGTCTTATGTATTGTGTCTCCACACACGTGTCCCCAGTGTCTGACCATCTCTTCAAACATGCTCACAGTCTTTGACCGTATACTGTTGTGTTTCTGTTGTCTTTGACACTGAATATTATGTGCTGCCCTTTGGAGATGTCTCTCAGGATCCTCTTATCAAGAAAGTTGACCATCCCTAGTGTAGGTTGTACAAGAGTGAGACATTTGTTATGATGGGTAAAGCACACTGTTGATGGCCTGTAAGTTTCCTAATTCTAATCACATACCATAATGTGGAATGAAAAGGGTGGGGCCTGTGTACAAAAGTGGATCAGTTTATTTAGACACTGGATTTCTGACTTCAGAAATTTTGTGTGCATCCAAATGTTCATTATTTATGCTGAACCCTCTTAGATAGGTTTCTAAGTGATAGGAACATTTAGTTTTTGTCTGGGTTGTAGTCAGCCCACTTTTTGATTTGCATAGTTCTGCATTTGGTTTCTTCATAAGCTCAGAGAGGTTGTGGTTTCTCGTTGTTGTCAGTAGGTGTCACTAAGCCCACTGGCTATAGTATGAGGTTGGAAGAACTAAGTTATGAATATTCATGTTTCCCCCTGCTATCCCCATAGGAGGTTCAGGCAACTGGAGTATGATGGGGTGGGTATAAATATTTGGGAAGGCCATGTGCTTTCTCTCAGGCTGAGTCTTGGAAAGTTTCTGCTGGACCGTCTATAATGCTGTGCCCAGAAGCTTGATTGGTTCTTGGCATGTGTTGTGTGAACTGCTCTACACACATGGCCCAGGAGATTAACCAGCAGGGAAAGCTGCCATCTCTTAAAGCTTGGATGCTCATCAGGGTCTCGGTTTTGGGGGTCCTGACCTTCAACTACAGAGTCATCCCTTAGACTTCATCCTTGAGGATCCAGTCTACTAACACTTCTCTAAGACAACAGAAATATAAGTGTAGGCAGCTATTCAGCAGCCTCATGAGTAAAAGACTGTTTGCTGATCTGACCTTTGGTGCTTTAAGGACATAAGAGCCAGGGTAGCTTTTACGGCTTACAACTCCCACTCCTGATCTAGCCATTCCTTCTAGTCTCAGATGTCAAGAAGTGCTACTTACAGGGCAACAAAGTCAGTGTCCTCTTCTTTGGAACTGGCATTGATCGGAGTATCCCATGCCCTATGCCCCTATACAGTTACAAGCAGGGGCAGACTGACAACTCATGGGGCCCCCGGGCAATAGGGGATCATGGGGCCCCTGTGTCCTTGCCCAAACTCAAAAAAAGCCTATGAAAAAGGTACCAGAGGCATCTCATGGGACCCCCTATCTGACCCCAGGCCCTTGGGCGGTGCCCGAGTTCCCAAATGGTCAGTCCGCCCCTGGTTACAAGTCTATTATCATTAATAACTCAAAAGACATCCCCTAGACTGGTTAGTGGGTCAGTGTCAGTGTTGCCAACCTAGCAGATTGGAATTCACTGACACAACACCCACAGTTTACTGGCACAGCCAAGTTTTTACTGGCATTTCCAAAAGTTAAAAAAAATTTACAGTGTTAAGTGAAAATTTCACACTTATCAGCGGCCCATTCAGAGGTATTGCTACATTTATATATTATTTATAATTTGATATTATAAATATGGGCACACACCATATTTTAGCATGAAAGTATTATCAGCACTAGTACTAGACGATTTATTTTGGCACAATTATTGTTAGTGATATCATTCTGGTTCAGCTTTAGCTTCCATTTAAATTTTAGGCTCAGAGGTTAGGTTAAAGCTGAACTCCTCAGATATAACAGGCACAAGTTAATGCCGCTGTCTTCACTGATACATCATTCAATGTGACACGCATTTTCAAATGCCATCTGCTTAAGTAATGTAGCACAGACCCCAGACTCAACTAGATGATTTTTCCCAGGCTCCATTCCCTGTAAGGCACAGGGCAGCCAGGCACACAGCAGTTCACAGTCTCTCAACTGAAGAACCAGGCAGTGCATGTCTTTTTGCTGTTTAATGCTGATTGAACTTGGGTAGGGTTCAGGGTGAGCCTTGGAATCAGGGGCGGACTGACCATTGGGGAACTCGGGCACTGCCTGAGATGAGATGTCCCTGGTACCTTTCATAGGCTTTTTTGGGTGTGATTTGAGTGTGGGAGAGGACACAGGGGCCCCATGATCCCCTATTGCTTGGGGGACCCATGAGTTGTCAGTCCACCCCTGCTTGGAATACTCAGAAATTAGTAGAAAAGACAATGGTGGACACACCCACATGGAAGAAAAATATATTTGAAATATATTTTCAAAATATTCTTCCCAAATATATTACCATATATTTGAAATACTACATTTTTGGCCATATTCAAAATAAATAAAATATATATATATATATATATATACTGCATTTTGAAATTTGTTTTTATTACAAAATATATGAAAAAAATATTTTAAAAAATACATTTCAAATATACTGTATGTCTTTAAAAATACAAATCTACATTTTTGGAGTGCATTTACAAATATATGTAAAAATATATGTTAAAATGACTTTTTTTAATGTTAAAAATAACTGAAGTATATATTTAAAAAATATATATTTTTAAAAATGTGATATCAATATTGCTCCAATTTAAATATGGAAATCAAAATATATATACAAGATGTGGGTGTAAAATATAAATCCAAAAATATAATGTGCAAGTGGGAGGGTTCCACTACCACCAAAGTGCTGCAATTGCTATTTCCAGTGTATACAGTCCAAACCAATATCTTGATCCACAATAGAAAATGCTCCACCTTCACCACCGTGACCAATCTTCAGTGAATTAGCTTAATAAATGTGGTGCGTTGCCTAAAAGTGCATCATCCAAATAAATGCCTGTATATATCATTAAATACTTTATTTAATAAAAATAAAATGAATACATATATGAATGAATGAAAGAATAAATTAATAAATAGTCCCAAAAGGCATGAAAAGTAAAAGAATAATAACAAAGTTCTGGAAAGATCAAAGTGCTCTATTTGTGCACCTATAAACATGGATATCTCGTGGCTCCACTCTTCACCACTGTGCACTCCACCAAAAGGGTTATTGAAGTCGCTTAGCAGAAACGTAGACCTCTATACAGAAGGTCTAACTGTCCTTATTGGATGGATGGGTCACTATTCAGCTTCAGCCAGGAATCAACCAGCAGATGGCTACAAATGCCACCATTCAGTAAACCTCAGGCCGCCAGCTTGCACCAAAAGATGAATCATGTCAACAGATCCCAAC